CAAAACAAAATAATGTCCTCTTTTGAACAGGTGATAGAGAAGGAAGATGATATAAAAATAGAATACCAAAAGAAATTTGTGAAAAAGAAAAATAGCTTAGTTGTTTCTTGAGATGAAAAGATGGCATCTATTAGGACTTGTTTCTGATCGCTGATTTATTTGTTACTTTGATGAAACGTCACTTAAAAATAGCGCCTTTTGTGATACTGTACGACAGTTTGGGGCGGGACTACTGGCAGATCTCAGGGGAATTTCGTTTCTCTCCCTCAAGCAACCAGTATGCTTATTAGTTCTAGCTACCACCCGAATGACGGACGAATATACCAGGCAAACAGACTCTTGCCTAAATGATATTATAAAGAGCTGTATAAGAACAACAATACATTAAGAGAACACAAACTAGTGACTGGATAACAAACTTGAGTGTACTGATGAACAAGGATTGAAGAAAGGTGAAGAGTAAGGCAGTAGTGAGGGCAGCTCCGTGGCCAGGGAACATGTCTTAACTAATTAAAGTTTCCTCTCAGTTTTTTTTTAGGCGTTTTTGGCTATAAGGGTGATGGTGAGGGGTGTAGGGGGGAGGTGAGGGGTATTGGTGGTGGGTGTTGGTGTGTGTGTTGGAGGGGGTGAGGGGTGTAGGGGAGGTGAGGGTATTGGTGGTGGGTGTTGGTGTGTGTGTGTTGGAGGGTGAGGGTTGTTGAAGGAGGGTGGGGTATTGGTGGTGGGTGTTGGTGTGTGTGTGTGTTGGAGGGGGTGAGGGGTGTAGGGGGGAGGTGAGGGGTATTGGTGGTGGGTGTTGGTGTGTGTGTTGGAGGGGGTGAGGGTTGTAGGAGGAGGGTGAGAGGGGTGATGAGGGTGTAAGACAGTATAGAAGGCAAGAGGAGGAGAGAAAAGTAGGAAACGTCCAGGTGTGTAGGAGCACCGCTGGGCCTTAACCTAATTCACCTCTCATTTACACAATATACCCTGTAAATCGTGTAAATCAGACTGTAAATCCTTGGATGAAACTATTTTTTTCTAACACGAGTGGAAAATCTTAGTTTGTTTTCCCCGTAGTGGTCGCTTGCGGTCTAGACTCACCCGGAAATAAAGTCTTTGAGAGGAATGATTCACACGTTAAACTGCGGTGACGTAAATAATCCTTGTAAATTGGGTTTTTGAGTGTCTTAGTGTTGTGGCGAGGGAAGAAGTCAAGCACTGGAGACGATCGTGGCCTCTCGCTAAACACAAACTACCACGTCATCTTAGAGGGAAGGAACAGCGACCTCAAAGACAGGACTCTACTACGAGGACAAGTTGCTCACGAGGATGACCTGAATTATAAATGGGATTTTCTTTTGTCCTCTTGTTTCGTCGTGTGTGTGTGTGTGTGTGCGCGCGTGTGTGTGTGTGTGTGTGTGTGTGCTACTGGTGGGTGGAAGGGGTGAGAGACCTAAATAGACAGGAACGTAAACTTTAGGCAAGTTTTAATTTAGGGTGTATGTATGTATGTATTATATGGCCATAAATGGTTTACAATACAACAGTTGGTGACGAAGCTAACTATCTCAGTTCTGTGTGCTTGTGTGTCTGCCTATAGCCCACCTACCTATTAGTATGTGTGTTTATAGGTCTTTCCTGTTAACCTTCCTACCAGACTGTGTGGGTGTAGGTGAACTTCATCATCATACACTCCCTCAGGCATGTCCTTCTGCCACACCCTCGATAGTACACTGCCCGTGGGTGTAGTGACGGTGTATATTGTACTTATTACCAGGCTGTGTTACTTCCTGAGTCTGGATATGTATAGACTAACGACCTCCCCCCAAAATCCCTGTAACACTGTACTGGGTAATGTTTAATAATGTAATCGTGTAGAATTTTTGTATCTTCAATGTATCTGCTGTAATCTATTGTATTATCTGTATGTAATGACTGGAATCAGGACTAGTATACATTAAGCAACATTACATTTTCTGCTGGTAACTCCATTCCAGATTTACCTGAGTTTAATAGATCACAGGTAAGAGTAAGCCGTTCCCCCCAACACGTGGAAAAATTTGTTGGTGTGTACAAGGTAATTATTCTAAGATCAGTCACCAACCTATTCGAATATAACTTTGACATTCCTTTTGAGGTTCTTGATTTCTAAGAGGAACAACCCCAGCTTTCATGGTCCCCTTTGCATGATATACGCACACACACGTAAACAGACAAACACACACACACGCACACTGCTTCTTCGTTCCTGCAGACGGCAAACATGAAAACTCGTCTTGTTTACATTATACCATAAAGAGGCGCTGTACATACAAGTTACTGGTTAAAAGTTGGCGAGGCGTGGAGAGTCCGGGTGGTGACCGGGTGGTGGTAGTGGCAGCCAGGTGGTAGTGGTGGTCGGGCGGTGGTGATAGCTAGGTAATGGTGGTAGTGGCAGCCAGGTGGTAGTAGTGGTGGTCGGGCGGTGGTGATAGCTAGGTGCAGCCAGGTGGTAGTGGTGGTCGGGCGGTGGTGATAGCTAGGTAATGGTGGTAGTGGCAGCCAAGTGGTAGTGGTGGTCGGGCGGTGGTGATAGCTAGGTAATGGTGGTAGTGGCAGCCAGGTGGTAGTGGTGGTCGGGCGGTGGTGATAGCTAGGTAATGGTGGCAGTAATAGACGCATCCCACACCTCCACCTACAGACACTCTCACATTAATATCACTCCACATCAAGGTAAAGTATTTTAGGAGTACCGAGATGTACCGAGGTTGTTTACTCCCACCAAGAGTTTATTGACCTTTGACCTGAGCCACTTAGTCGTTAATATTAATTACTTTTAGTTCTTTGTCTAGTGCCTCTTCCTCTGTGTTCCTCTCACGTCATCGCCTCAGAAACTTACTGTACAATTAGATTATTGGTTAGGTTAGGTATTTATATTAGGTTATGTTAGCGTTTGGTTAGGTTACGTTAGGTTAGGTTGGAGTCTTTAATCATCAAGTGAAATAAACTGGTGTGCCTAGATACCCAGCCAGTTTGTAATATCATAATGTATTGCATAAACTCCCTGTATATAAAGAGAGAAAATAAAAGATGAATTCAACTATAAACTGTAAATACAAAATACATAAAGCCAAGTTAAGCTGTTCCAAAGCTGCAGTTGTTCTGGACTATGCTCTATTGAAATGATTCCCGTCAAAAAATAAATTCTCTATCCAGCTCAGACTAATGATAGATGCGAAATATCAAACTACATTCTTTACAGTATATGTACAGTCAGTCCCCTTCACTTGTGCGTTTACAGGGACTTGTCAGGTTTTGTGCAGTCTGGCAGCGTTGTGTTTGTGTATATTCCTACAGAAAGAAACTCGCAATAGTAAACAAACTATGGAATCAAAGTCAATCAATATTCAAATAAATATCTCAATAATAATGATTTGTGGAATGTTTATATGGCGAGCCCCTGTAAACGCACCAGTGAAGGGGACTGTACGTGTGTGAAGCGAAAACTACAAAAAAATCTACGGGTCTGTCTGTGTCTGTCTCCTTTTGTCTGTCTGACTGTCTCCTTCCCGTCTGTCTGTGTTTACAAAAAAAATGAGTCGTATCTGAATTTCCTTGTACTTGTAATATGATATTTCAATCGTACCTGGCCATTATTGGTTGGGGTGGGGTGGGGGGGTTAGGTTAGGTCACGCTCGGCTAGGTTAGGTCATGTTTGGCTAGGTTAGGTCACGCTTGTATTAAGGAGTCTCGGTAAATTCTCCAACTTTCTTAACCCAAAATATTTCAAGTTATGAATCTCTGGTGTGTGTGTCTACCTAACCTAACCTCATCAGCCTAATGGAGTGGAGCAAATGTCACGGGATTATGTTACAGAGATCAATTGCCTAACATAATCGAGTAAAAACACAGGTCACCTCCCACGTAGAGCGAGAGCTGTTAAAATGTAGGTTAATACGGTTGAGGATTAAAACCTTTTATGATTAATCAAATGTAAATTGTTTTAACTGGTGGATAACGTAGCGATATGAAAAACGTTTTAGCTTTGCAACTACTGTACAGATGGACGGAATTACTGTATTAGTAGTATTTTCAACCTATAAGCCATTATGTTTTACTGTCGTTGCAATATTTCGCAATCGTCGCAATGTTTCGCTTTCGTCGTAATGTTTCGCTATCGTCGTAATGTTTCGCTATCGTCGTAATGTTTCGCTATCGTCGCAATGTTTCGCAATCGTCGCAATGTTTCGCTATCGTCACGTTAACCACTTGGTGTGACAAGAGAATATTACAGTATCTAACTTAACCTGAGTGAGCGAGCGAACAATAGCGAGCGAGTGAGTAAGTGATAGTGAATGAGCTAGACTTATAAAAGATAACATAGAGTTGTGTTACAGTTTTAATTAACATAAAAACTACACGTTATAACATTCTTTTAATTACACCTGTATACTCAACTGTATTTATACCTGTAACAACTATATACTTTTGTTCTTGTATTGTATTTCTTTGTTTAATTGTTACAGGTGGACCAAAAAGTAAATTAGGATGTATTAAAGGTATTCATGTACCAGCTACTAGTCATTATAAAGTATATGTTAGGATTTATTACTTATTAATAAACGAGGCAACAGCTTGTAAAATAATAATAATAATAATAATTTGTCAGAGGCGGAGGTGTTTGTGTTTTAGGGAGATGTGTGGATGGAAGGGTGTCAGGATGTGTGTGTCAGTGAAGGGAGGGTGTCAGGATGTGTGTGTCAGTGAAGGGAGGGTGTCAGGATGTGTGTGTCAGTGAAGTGAGGGTGTCAGGATGTGTGTCAGCAGGGAATGTGTTAGAGGAGCACTTCAAGAGGTGGGGAAGAGGAAAGAAAAGAGAGATGGTTAACTAGTCTCCTGTGCCGAGTTATCAAGATAGTGACTTAACATTACCTTAGTTTTATGTGCCGAGTTATCAAGATGGTGAGTTAACATTACCTTAGTTTTATGTGCCGAGTTATCAAGATGGTGACTTAACATTACCTTCTGTCTCCCTCCTTCAGGAAACACTCGTCAGGAGACCTTCACTCCCGTCTCAAGACCCGCAAGATCCTCGGCGTGGGAGAGACTGATAATGGCGACATCCACAGGTCTAAGGTACTGTACTTAACCTAACCTAACCATAGCTCTCCTCTCCTTACCTTGCCTCCCCATCCACCCCCTCACCCCATCCCCTCCCAACACCCCCTACTCACCTCTCTTCACCTCCCAACACCCCCCCCCTCCTTACACACACCACCCCACACTCCCACTTACCTTCCTTCCCCTCCCCTCACCTCACACGTGTCCTATAGATATTCTTAGCACAAACTAACCCTAAAGTCACCAACCCAACCTGGAGATGTTGTGACGGTGAAGCAGCGGTCGTGAAGGGGGAGGGAAAAGTCCTCCTGTAGAAGCAAACACTTGAGGGCCTCCTGTTCCAATCCTCACGTGTTCAGAAGACACTCGACTGGGCCAGAATTCTTAGAGATACGGTATTTTTTATCTTTATTTCTTTACTTAATTAGGAATGAGTGAGATACCTGAATAATGTTACCTGTAAAAGCTATAGTTGGGCAGCCTCCTCCATAAACATTAAGAGTATCAACCCCCGAGCACCGCAGTTGTTGGATAATGAATAAAATGAATTAAAGAATGAATGAATAGTGATGTATAATAAATAAAGTAAAAAAAATGGGGAAAATAAAATTAGAAAGATAATTTTTTCCTATAAATAACCTTTATCAGTCTATAGGAAGTCTTAACCTCACCTAACCTAACTTAGCCCAAGAACAATAAACGTAAAATGTAATTAACTTATCTTAAAGTTTTTATGTAACTTAGAAAATCATATATAATCCCATAAAAATGTATAGTGACCCGACATATCATATGAGTATTGGTGTTAAGGTGTCGAGAAGCCTTGAAAAGACTTGGCTTCAACTTTGAAACTTTTCGAGTAGCTGGCTTCGGTTATACGACTTCGTCCTCAAGTCTGAAAGGAGGTGGAAAGTGGAACAGGTAGAGAAAGGAGGAACAAATGTTGGAAGATAAATGGAGAGGTGGGCGGGATGGAGGGAGGGAAATCGTGACCCCTTATAGACTGGAGGGAAGATGGAGGGGGCATACTGAAGTGTTTGTGTTGTGGGAGAGGGAGAGAGAGGGAGGGAATTGGGGATAATTGGAGGAAGGGAAGTTAGTAGTGGAGGAGGGAGGGTCACTGTGGAGGGTGGAGGGTCAGTGGAGGAGTGAGACGTTGGAGGGATGGTGGAGGGGGGGGGGATGGATCACGGTGGATGATAAAGCAGGAGAGGGAGTAGAGACGAGAAGAAAATGGAAAGAAAGAAACTAAGAGAGGCGAAGGTGATGTTCATGGCAGCTGCAGCAGATGTAAGGGCCAAGCGTGTCGATATTTCTGTTGGTTTTATTCGCACCTCGTTTGTATTATTTTCGTAAGATAAACCTTCAATTTCAATGACATTTTCGACGATTGATTAAAAAGTGGCAACGTGGGAGATGAGAGGAGAGGGAAGAAAATAATAAAGGAGGGAAAGTTGCCTGAGAGAATAGTCGAGAGGGCATTTAGGGGAAGGAGAACAGAGGAGATGAAGAAGAGATGAGGAAAGAATGGAAGAGGAGAGGAAATGCGAAGGAATGTGAGATATAGAGGGAGGAGGGGGGAGCTAACAGGTGGGCGGGACCTGTGGGCGGTGTTTGTAAGCTGTACTCTGGGTGGATGGGACTAATTGCTTGACCTGTGGGTGGGGAACCGGTGGGTGTTGTCTGTGAAAGTGGGGTTACTGGGTGGAGGTTAGTGGGCAGGTCCCTAAATAAAGGTAACGTGAGGAAGGTGGGGTGAGAGGGCGGAAAGGGGAAGGGATGGAAGGGAGAGGGAAGGAAGGGGGAAGATAACTGTCACGTATATAACAGATTAGCCAGGTCGAGCGTGACGGTCGAAGGAGACTCTTGACTAGACAGACAGACAGATTAAGAGACTGAGGGGACATGCAAACAGCGCATTTATCCCCACTCCTAAGTAGTTCCCTGGATCGTGGAGTGAGGAGATCAGTGGAGAACAGAGAGGGGAGGATCGTGGAGTGAGGAGATCAGTGGAGGACAGAGAGGGGAGGATCGTGGAGTGAGGAGATCAGTGGAGAACAGAGGGAGGATCGTGGGTGGGAGATAAGTGGAGGACAGGGGGAGGATCGTGGAGTGGGAGTCAGAGAACAGAGAGGAGTATCGTGGAGTGAGGAGATCAGTCAGACAGAGGGGAGTATCGTGGAGTGAGGAGATCAGTGGAGGACAGAGGGAGTATCGTGGGTGGGGAGATCAGTGGAGGACAGAGGAGGAGGAGGGAGATCAGTGGAGGGAGAGGAGAGATCGTGGAGGGAGATCAGTGGAGAACAGAGGGGGTATCGTGGAGTGGGGAGATCAGTGGATGGAGGAGATCAGTGGAGAACAGAGAGGGAGGATCGTGGAGTGAGGGAGATCAGGTGGGAGGACAGAGAGGGAGGATCGTGGGTGAGGAGTCAGTGGGAGGACAGAGAGGGAGTATCGTGGAGTGGGGGAGATCAGTGGAGGACAGAGAAGGGAGTATCGTGGAGTGGGGAGATCAGTGGAGAACAGAGGGGAGTATCGTGGAGTGAGGAGATCAGTGGAGAGCAGGGGAGTATCGTGGAGTGAGGTCAGTGGAGGACAGAGGGAGGATCGTGGAGTGGGGAGATCAGTGGAGGACAGAGGAGGATCGTGGGTAGGAGATCAGTGGAGAACAGAGAGGAGGATCGTGGAGTGAGGAGATCAGTGGAGGACAGAGGATCGTGGAGTGGGGAGATCAGTGGAGGACAGAGGGGAGTATCGTGGGTGGGGAGATCAGAACAGAGGACTGGGGGGTATCAGTGGAGGGAGATCAGTGGAGGACAGAGAGGGGAGTATCGTGGAGTGAGGAGATCAGTGGAGGACAGAGAGGGGAGTATCGTGGAGTGAGGAGATCAGTGGAGGACAGAGAGGGGAGTATCGTGGAGTGAGGAGATCAGTGGAGGACAGAGAGGGGAGGATCGTGGAGTGAGGAGATCAGTGGAGAACAGAGAGGGGAGGATCGTGGAGTGAGGAAGTCAACGCAAGACAGATTAACCCATGTCTCTGGGCTATACTTTGAGGGTCATTGTCACTGGGTATTGTTGTTCCTTATGTAAGTTATCATAGGAGGGAGAAATAATGATCAAGTTATCATAGGAGGGAGAAATAATGATCAAGTTATCATAGGAGGGAGAAATAATGATCAAGTTATCATAGGAGGGAGAAATAATGACCAAGTTATCATAGGAGGGAGAAATAATGACCAAGTTATCATAGGAGGGAGAAATAATGACCAAGTTATCATAGGAGGGAGAAATAATGACCAAGTTATCTCAGCATCGTCCAGTGTATTCCTATTATTAAAGGTCAAGAGTTTTGTTGTGGAAGTGAACAGATCTTGAGAGTCGAGTATGTGGCAAGGGAGAGCGAGCTGGTAGTGTAGAGGACAAACAACACAGGCAGGGGGATACACCACGGGGATCGAGGGAAGGTCGTAAAGGAAGGGTACATAGTGGTGGCTTTATGGGAGGTCTATCTGAGGGAGAAGTCTTCGTACTGATAGTGAGCGAACACACACACACACACACACACACACACACACACACACACACACACACACACACACACACTAGAGAGGGATTAAGTCTTAAGCATCTTTAAACATAGGTCTTAAATTCTTCCTGTCAGCTGTGGTTGTAAACATTAAAATTCTACTCTAAGAGGGATATTAAAGTAGCGGGACTTTGTGTGGCTTCCAGAATATAACCCCAAGACCTCACGGGTGGCGTTCTCAGCACTAAGAGCGTGAAGAAAATGCTCCAGGTTGCCTCTAAATGCTCTTGTATGCTCTTAAACACACTTAAATGCTCCCAGAAGCTTCCTGTAGTCCGCCATGGAGCATCAGATGATATGTGTTTATTCTTTACCTTGTACTGTATATGTCTGTTGATACGTCATACATGAAGATAAAAATAAGAATATTGACTCGGGTGAAAAACAAATTACAGTGACGATATAAATTGAGATATTATGTATTTTGGTGATACTTGTCATGGCTCAGAGTCGCTCAAAAACGATCATTACCAAATTATGTTGAAAAAAATATAACACAACAGACGAAGGACTTTGACGCACCCCCTGGAAGCAACAGAAACACCCCCCCCCCAGGAAGCAACACACACACACACACACACACACACTCCCAGAAAACGACAGACAACAGACACCCCCCCCAGAGAACACCTCCCCGCTCCCCCCTGAGACAATACAAGCTCGAGAAAATTGAGCACATTCCAATTTACCACATGCACGACCCATCCACCACGGGCCGCTCTCAAACTACCCACTCTCCCTTAAAACCTTCACCCTCTCCCTCACTCCCACCCCTCCCACACTCCTTCCCACTCCCACCCCTCCCCCACCATCCTACACACACACAAATCCCTTAAACCCCACCACCGGCATCTCCCTGATACCCAAATTATATGCACCGTCAGGAAAATTCCACTATCCCATACCCACTCCCCTTACTGCCTGCCTCTCTCTGTGTGTGTGTGTACTCTTGAGCGCCTTCCCGTATATTGAAATTTCGTTCTTCTTTCACTAGTCCCACGTAAACATTAACTTTGTGTCAGGATGATTTTTTTTGCCTGTCCCTCTTCTTCTTCTTTCTTTCTTTCTTTCTTTCTTTCTTTCTTTCTTTCTTCTTCTTCTTCTTCTTCTTCTTCTTCTTCTTCTTCTTCTTCCTTTTTTCTTCGTTCTTCTTGGATCGTCTCTTTCCATAATCCAGCTTGGGGTTAACCCTTACCTCGTACTGAAATTTTGTTATGATCATGTATTCTGCATTTACATTTCCGGTATATTTTAACAGTAATATAGTTTCTCAAAATATATATTAGAATGTGGTAAATATATATCAGGTAATGTATTAACAATATCATGAAAAAGTACCCAACAGAGTGAAGGGAAATATATATATCTTATCAATCTGTTTCACTATTATAAATATCTTACTTGATTCTTAGGTAAAACAAAATAATCAAAACTTAGGAAAAACTTTAGAAAAAAATAAATAGAAATATGACTTAATACTTTTGAAAACTTAAAAAAAATATTACTTCTGTCGTTAGATGTGGTACACTTGGTAAAGCCACAACTTATTTAAAACGTCTACTGTACTAACCCCACACACATACACATACATGCAGTTATTCAGCTACCACTAAAGTTATGTTTCAGCAACGTTGTTTCCTGTACTGATGATCGTCAACAGCTTAAGCCGCCCTATTTTACCAACATATAACAGCGATTTCAGTACAGTTCTAAACACTGGCAGCGATTTTAGTACTCACGACAGACTGGCAGACACACAGCTTGCAGTGTGCAGGTTCCTAAGTTTCTTTCTCTCTTGATCTCTTTCACCTTGTTCGTGTTGATAAGATCTTTGATAGATATAACGATAGTAATAAACTTGAGGATTTACTTTATCGTAGTGTGACGGGGAGGTGTGAGACGGGAGGTGTGTGAGACGGGGAGGTGTGTGTGACGGGGTGGTGTGTGAGACGGGTGGTGTGTGTGACGGGGAGGTGTGTGAGACGGGTGGTGTGTGAGACGGGGAGGTGTGTGTGACGGGGAGGTGTGTGAGACGGGTGGTGTGTGAGACGGGGAGGTGTGTGTGACGGGGAGGTGTGTGAGACGGGGTGACTGTGTGTGGGTGTGTGACCAGAGTGAAACATTGACGGCCACCACCACCATCACTCACTGTCGTCTCTCCTCACCACCACCACCTCCCTACATGAATTGACGGCCACCACCACCATCACTCACTGTCGTCTCTCCTCACCACCACCACCTCCCTACATAATGACCTTCGAAAATTACAAGAAATAATAATAATAATAGTAATAATAATAATGATGATGATGATGATGTTAATGATAATAATATGGCTCTATTATATCTCTAACTATGGGTATTGTCATCTGAGAATAGCGTCTGGTCTGAGTTACCCTTATTTGTCTTCCTTATTCTCTCTAAAGTCACATTATAGCGGAAATTCCAGGAACACACAGTAACACACGACTAGAGATTGTTTATAGCGAATGGCTGCAACACCTAGGCTGGGAAACTAGGCGGTCGCTTTGTTTGAGGTGAATCTTGGCATATCTCCCTTATTTACATTATGGCTCTCACATTAAGATTATAATTGTGTCATGAGATCTTTATTTGTAATGTAAGAACGACAAAGGTTTTCGTTTCCTGCCGCTTGAGACAACTGGCTCTTACGTTCTTTGTGGATGATGGGGAGGATTTTATGATCAGAAAATTTAAAGTTTGCATCATGTATGACTTTACTCCCAGTGCGTGCGTGAGAGAGAGAGAGAGCGCTGTTTTATTACTTAACTCGCCCTGTGTGATTTATTGTGTGCGTGTATCCCAAAATGAAGATTAATGTCCTGGTCTAGAGCACGACGGAGTTTGATGCACGGGGGGACGGGATGGGAGGTAAGAGTTAGGAAGGGAGTGGATGAGGTCATGATGTTTTCAGTGACACTTCCGTAAACGCTGGTCCAACTGGCCGCCAGGTGTGGCCTCTCCTCACCTGTTTGTTTGTCGGGTCTTTGGTTTATTGTCGTTCCCCAAGGATTACATAAATAAAAAGTGTGTTTTAGGAGATGTGTGTTGTGATAGCCATAACCCAGCTGTGCCTGCTGTTGGCTCAGTAACCCGAGCAAAATTGCACTTTCTTCATACGTATTACTTATTAGACGATGATGAATGTACGAGATTTTTTTTTTTAATCCTGAACCGTAAATTACGTATTAATTGCAATATTTGATTTATGTCTGTTTCATAGAAGGTAGCTCAGGAGTTTAACACTGATGAGGTGGTGGTAGACAGGGATTTATATCAGTCACGACGACGACAAAGGAAGACAGACGTGATGTCACTAAGTCACGAGGTCCACACACGCTTAGCCGCTGGTGGCCGAATACGAGTAGCGGGAACTAAGACTTAAAAGGTCATAAACATTGTACATTATTATTGTTATTACTACTACAGATGCATCAAACTCCGCTGAAAAGGCCATAGATTTTGCTGAATAACTATCTGCCTCTCCTTGTCTGCCTCTCTTCAGTTCTCTATACTTGTCCTGACCACCACAACCTTGTCCTATTAAATTTTCTTCTATTATTCTTCCCCGATCCTTGTTATTAAGTAATATGTTTTGTGTCTGCAGATCTCACAAGTGCTGGGTCACAATGAGCACCTGTACGTGAGGCTGCCGCGGGGGTTCTGGTCAGCGCATGTGTTGATGGGAGCTGGGGTGACCATGGAGACCTTACTGCTGCTACTCATGCCGGGTCTCGCCTCACACCTTGGGGTGATGCCTCCCAACGGTGACCAGGAGGACGACGACGACAACGACGACGACACTGCTGCCTCCCGCGTCGCCGGCGCCGCCCTGGCAGGTACAGTCAGCCAAAGATTCATCGACCCCACCCTAGCTCTCGTGCCTCGTGCTTGTAATTTTACCTGGCAATGCTTGGTGAAGTAAGACTGTGTGTAATATGGATTGTGATTGGTGGATCTATTTTCGACTGTATCACTGTCAGGATAAATATTAAACAAACCAAAGGTAAAATGTTTATAATAATAAACTATTCATCGTTATTTAATTTCATGAGAAGTTTCCAAATGTTCGTATATTTGCTTAAATAATGAAGAAATATGATGTTAGAATCTTGTGGCAGCTGTGGTTGTAGTTGAGTTGCCAATTCATTAATAGAACTTCGTCATTATTTAAGCAAATATACGAATATTTGGACAATTGTATACTGTACAAGTATCTGGTGGGCAGTGTCCAGATGGTACAAATGACCGGGACCTCTGAAGCAGCTGAGGCACAGGAACAACATTGTCTGCTATCTTACTAACTTCACCTGGGCTTGGCCACCACCTGCCTACCTCCACCCCTTTATAAATTTCAGCTGCTCCATCAAGCTTCATTGACTCCGTACCCTACTGGTCCACGATTCAGGAGATGACAACTTTTCTCAATAGCCACCTGGTTTGGGATAACTTTCACATTCTCTCTTAAGGACTATGAACAATTTCTTGAATGAACTAAAACTTGTGCAGACTTTTACTACTGTGGGAGAAATAACAACAAATATCTCTCCAGAATTGCTCGAAGAAGGAATGCCAGCTCGTGCAGGCACGGCTGAAACATAACGCAAAAGAATTACATACTGTATACATCCTACAATAAACACTGATGACATATTTTACTTCAGACAAGCCTGGAATTCATTATTAATTCTTAATATGGTAGAATAATTGTCACTCGCAAACCCAATTACTGTATGTTGGAACTCTTTCACAGCTTTGTAGAGGCCTTCCGGACTAGCTTTTTCTATTTCAACTGTCCAACAAAACATCATTTACTTTACATTTTTTCTCATCAAAATATTTCACCATGACCTCAAGAATTTGGGACACTGAGATGTCTGTGCAGCATCAATCACTAATGAAGATTTATTTCCCTGACATATCTTGACTATTTCTCGAGGTTTCTCCCTTGTAATGGCATCTTGCAGGACATACTAGCCTATAGTACATTTTTCTTGCAGTGTCATATTTTGAGTGATGTCACAATATGAGGATATTCTCTTGAGCACAGGTAACAGGTGAAAATGGGATCCCATTCTCTGCCATAAGTCCTGTCAATAACAAGACTGCTCTACTCTCTTTATGTTGAGGATCTGGCTTTGTCTTTCTCGTGAAGTGCTCACTAACAATGCCATCTTTCTTTGCAGCAAAGTTTTTAGTGTGCTGTGAGGAAACTCTATGATTCATAAGGCCAGACCTGTTACAGTTCTTCATCTTACTATTTCACACACTGTACAATATACTATAACTCAGTAACGTTGCATAGGGGAGGGAGTGGGGTTATGACAACACTCCAATAATTCTGCCTGTGAGTATAAGAATGGCTTGTGACTATGAGTGCAAACGAAAAGATGAGAGTAAATTTGGCCAGAATCCTCAAAAAATTACGCAAATGGTGCCCACATGAGTAAAAATTATGTATACCCCTTAAAAACATATCTACCCACAGAACAGTTGCACTTACATCGCTGAATTTATGAGTACACATAAGTTCTTGTGGGTACTTGCATGTGCTTTCACTCTTCCCTCCAATCAGTACCTTCTAGCAATACCACTGGCTATATTTATTGTTTGCATCAGGTTTAACCCAGTCTTTGAACTCGTCATCAGTCATCCACTACGTTATACCACACTTTAGCCCTCTGTACCTATGGCCTTCCGAGTCGCAAGTTACTGCCGCCGTGCTATTAGTAAACGAACTCACACTTGATTGGATGGGTCTGTTTCCTATCAGGTTTGTGAAAAATAAGGTGGAGTTGATATGCCGTGATTGGCCGAAAATGACAAAAATTGTAAGTCTTATGCCTTACAGGATTTTTGGTAAAAAAATAGATTTTGTTCAAAATCTCAGTATAGGTACTCCTGAACATGTTGATTAAGGACCTGTTAACCAAAATTTGATATCGGCATTATTACTTATTCAAATGACTAGCACATGTAATTAAAATTTTCTAAAAGCCATTTGAACAAATAATAATCCAGATATCAAATTTTGGTCAACAGGTCCTTAATCAGCATGTTCAGGAGTACCTATATATATATATATATATATATATATATATATATATATATATATATATATATATATATATATATATATATATATATATATATTGATTATTGAAACATGCAAACATTTCTATAAATTTGGGGGCCCACTGATGAGTTTGGCCTGGGGCCCACAAGTAGTTAAATCCGGCCCTGTTTGCATTACTTTACAAGGTGTTCCATTATGGCATCTCGTTGAGTGCTCTCTAGTAGGCCTACTTAACATGCTATGCTGGTCAAGCTCACCGGCCTATAATTGTTCGTGCAGTGGTGATCACCCTGTTTGAACATAGGGCTCACATATGTCATCTTCCAGTTGCTGGGGACCTTCGCTCACCCGTGCCTCTGCAGAACAGGATATTAAGGGGCTCAGTAAACTTGATCCACAACTCTCTTAACACTAGGATGCACACTAGCAGTGCCCTCGCTGTTGTCAACCTTTAGTTTTGACATTTTTTTCTAATACACTCTTCTGAGAACTCGCTGTGCATTAATGCTGTGTCAAACTGTTTTTTCCTGAAACGGATCCTGAAAACTGAAAAAAAGAATCTTATTTAACCCCTCTGCCTTATTCAGTTCTGGCTCTGCGTAACTACCATCTTCAAGTCACGGATCTGATACGCCTACACGTATCTTTAATTTCGATTTTGCAGTAGAAAACCTTAGGGTTTGACTTATCCTCGTTTGCAATTAGCTTATAAAACTTTTTTTTCACCCTTTCTACACTCTGACTTAGTTTGGTTCGTGGACCTGGCATGTAGCCTTCTATCACAACCCATCTCTTGCTTCTGAGATTTGTTCTTAACCTTATCAACCGCCACGTGGTTGAGGTGTAATGGTCTCCTAGCAGTCCTGGAGCTGATGGGTTCGGCCTTGAGTATATATCTAGAGTTTACTTCACTGTCTATGTTATTCAAGGTAGTATCTGTGTTCTTATATCTCCACGAGTCAGGCCAGTGAATACCCCTTATTTCTTCCTCGTCTTCACCCCAGTAGCGTGCATTCTCTCCCTGGCATCATGGATTCTTCCCCAAACAACGTGCATTTTCTCCCCACTAGCACCTATCTTCCATTTGGTAGTGTGCATTTTCTCCCAAACATTATCTATTCTCTCCCCACCAGCATCTATTCTCCCCTTAACAGCGTGCATTTTCTCCTTTGACCAATGATTGTACCACCTCATGTAGGACAGTCACTGTATCACCTTATGTAGGATAGTAACTGTATCACCTTAGGTAGGGCAGTAACTGTATCACCTTAGGTAGGGCAGTAACTGTATCACCTTGTGTAGTGCAGTAACTGTATCACCTTGTGTAGGGCAGTAACTGTATCACCTTGTGTAGGGCAGTAACTGTTCCACCTTGTGTAGGACAGTAACTCTACCACCTTATGTAGGATAGTAACTGTATCACCTTGTGTAGGGCAGTAACTGTATCACCTTGTGTAGGGCAGTAACTGTTCCACCTTGTGTAGGGCAGTAACTCTACCACCTTATGTAGGATAGTAACTGTATCACCTTGTGTAGGACAGTAACTGTATCACCTTGTGTAGGGCAGTAACTGTTCCACCTTGTGTAGGGCAGTAACTGTATCACCTTGTGTAGGGCAGTAACTGTTCCACCTTGTGTAGGGCAGTAACTCTACCACCTTATGTAGGATAGTAACTATACCACGTTATACAGTATATGCACAATACAAACCATAGCTCTTTAACTGTACCTCCCCATGTAATTGTTTAACTGTACTACCCCTAACTGTGTAACAAATATCCGTGACAGATTGACAGTGACAGCATGTATAACTGGCCTCCTGTTGTAGGTCTGTGTGTGTTCGTGTGGTCACTGCTGGGCACGTCGGACAAGCACTATGCCCGCACTATGCTGCTTTCCATGCTAACCTACCACATACTCTCCATCTGTGTAGGAGCTGCCTCGGCCCTCACGAAACAGGTAAGACCAGGAGGAGACATTATAGGGAGCTGTGTTGGCAGTGTGATGGTTCTAGATAGCTGGATAATGTTTTGGTTAGTTGGGATGTGACAGGGATATTTGAGATGTATTAAACATAATAGAGGAATGTCAGGGTGTAAAGATATGCTGAGAACTGGAGGAGAGAGAGATCTATAGAATCCTGATGATAGGAATCAGAGTGAGTGAGTGTTGGGAATAATGAAGTCTTGAGAGTAGACTATTGTAAATAAGGAAAGGTACAAGTACTGTATTATTTGATGTGTTGTTGAAGAGAAATGTTGACATTGCTGGGGTTCAACAATAGAAATTAAGTGAGATTTTAAATAATGAAGTTTAAGTCATCAGCTATGTTTATGAGCATTTTGTGGAAGTATTGAATTATTGCTACATAATTTAAAGTATTTGACCTTGTAATTTTTTATATATGAGTGGTTAGTACAGAACATGTAAGAACAGAAATTTCTTATACATATACTGTACTATAATTATTCACGTTTTTAATCAGATATTTATTGATGGTAAAGTATAAAGTAAAGTAAAGTACATATTGTATTGTCATTTTTTTTTTTAATGAACTGTGATATTTTAAGACGTTTTTTTCCAACAGAATGAAGGTGAAGCACTATTTGAGAGTCGCCTGGTCATGATTATTGCCATGCGAGCGGTGATGTGTGTGATCTGTTTAGCCTACTTCTACTCCATCGGTGAGCCAACCTTTGGAATACGCAAGTCTACTTCATACAAGGATCTGGCTAAGGACGAGTGCAAGAAGGATATTTAACACCTTCCTCTTGTTCTCCTACTGTCTTTCTCAGCTCTAACAGATAACACCTACACATTCATGAAGGATGCTACATAACACTAGTGCTTTTTAAATGACAATTCTCCTTGAAAACATGCTTATAAATTTAGAATAAATGGATGGCATTTCACACAGCTACAGCGAGAGTAGATATTTGCATGTTCAAAAATAGTGAAGAATCTGTAACCTTTCCCACTTATTTTTGCATAAGATATTTAACTAATGCTGTATGATGTAAAAAATTCTCTGCTATTATTTATATTACTAACACAGTTGTATGTGGCTTACAGTGTAAATAATCCATAGTACTGTACTGATGCCTTAGTGAGAAAGATCAGTGATAATGAGTTTTTTCAGTCGAATTCCAATGACCGATCTTTGGGTGCCACCGAGCAAGCATAGTACAGGTGAGGTAAATTAAACTTATCTTTCAACTCACATTACCAGCAATAAAAGTGTGTAAGTAAGAAAGATAAGTGAACCTAAAGATGGAGGAAGTTACATACAGTACCTCTATATACAGTACTGTACTGTACTTTGGTAACTATCTATACGGTATAACCAAATTCTAACAATAACTTTTTTATTGAAGATCATTATTTTCAGAGGTTAGGTTAAAGAATCTAGTATTTCTATTGGCAGCTGTACTAATTTGACATCTATAGTATAATATTTTCATCCTTATTTAACTGTGGATGTTAAGACTGCATTTTTTCCTTCTTTTTTCATAGTTGTATCATAGCTGACTAACAGTTTCCTATTTTTCTTTATTTATTCTAATGACTCTCACTTAAACCAATATTTTCCTTGATTATGATTCTCATCTGATTCTTTCTAACATTTTGGCAGTAGTTTGTATTGTACTTAATACTGTATATATTTAGCACACCTTAATGGCTAATTTATTTTACTTATTTTAAGGGAATTTTATTGACAATCATGGTCTTCACAATAATTACACAGGGAGACTGAAGAAAATAACCTATACGTACTGTGCACATTTTATTTTTATTTTTATAGCAAGATATTTTTTGTTCGCGGCAAAAAGTATTTGAATACTGTAAGTGATTTTTTCAGGGGTATTAGAGCACTGTGCAGCTTAATATTAAACTGTACAGTACAGTACTGTACTGTCAGAGGAGAAGCTCTGATATCAATCAACAATAGTACTCATTTAATATTGATAAAACCCATTTCAATCATAGAAACAGATAAAAGTCAAAGTACTGCTAGGGTTCCCTGGTCTAGGTACTGTACTTCAGAGGGTAGAACCTTCCTTTGTATTATTTTTTATGACTGAATTTGTAAATACAGTATTGTACGTTGAAACAAAGTATAGAACAAGTTATAGAAATCGCCTTAGTTTCTGTAATTGATTCTGTATTGAATATTTAAGATAGTGTTATAATGCCATAGAGAAATTCCTGAATTAGATCAGCAAACACACAATTTGCCATCAAAGAATTCACATGGTTATGAGTTATAAACAGCAGATATTGCTGGAGCTCATTGGATTATGTGAATAAAGGAATAAGTTTACTTAAAAGTTTTGACAAATAATTTTGGAAGTATGCCAGGCAAATACATTGTACTGCGTTAAGTAAAAATTTAATTATTCCAGATAATATGACCGTGCCATGTGTAATTACTATATACTACAGTACTGTACAGTGAACCCTTGAAGGTCTGGACTAAATGGGGGGGGACCACCTGTCCAAGAAAGCCGATTGACCCAATCTTCCGGTGAATGTACTAAATATATAAAAACGATAAATAATTAAAAAAAGACGTTTTTTTCTAAAAACCAGTTTTTGTGATATAGCTCGAATGCGACGTCAGCAAATGCTACCTAGGCATGTTAATTCCTAGCCAATTCGCCAGGCCAACATACAGGCAATTAAAACATCAAATAATTACTTAATGAGTAATATTAGGAGGACACGTCTCTACCTGGCATTTAATTGCAATTCTCAAACCACCCCTCGTTCACTTACTTAATGTCACTGAATTGAGTAAGCAAAATATAACTTATATTGCTGGAATTCATACAAGATAGCGGTTAATTTGAGTACAGTATGTACATCCCATAGTTTGCACTTGACATAAATTTTTTAATAATTAACTTAATACATTTGAGTACAGGTTTGCTCTTATGACAATTATTTATTTAATTTTTTTCACAATATGTATTTAGGATGGTGTGTGCATGTAAATGAGTAAAAATAGTTGAAGAAAGTTATGTATATCTACCCAAAAATATGAGTTGAAAAACAACCATAACACCTCACAGCTTGGCCTAGTAGCCTGGTGGTTACAGTGATGAGTCTAAACTGGCTACAATCCCATGATTAATCACTATTGAGCATTATTATATCAGTAAACACTAATAATAACAGTAAATCCAGTGAAATATGGCAGGGAGGAGGGGGGAGAGTTAAGTGCAGATGACACTAAACTAGCAGCACTCACTCACTCCCCTTACCCGCACCCGCAGCCAGGCGTACAGTCAAAATACGTACGGGAGAAATACATACTGTATCTTGTTTCCCACCTCCTCGGCCACCTGTGTCCAGCGCCACCGACTGGTCAACCAGCGCCCACGGGCCTAAAATATTCTATGTTTTGTTTTGGGATTGTTTCTTAGGGAGGCTTCTTAGCCCAGAACCCCCAAATTTTTTGTCCGAATCTTACAAAATCCGGATATACAGGGGCCGAATCTTCGAGGGTTCACTGTACATGAACTTTGTTGACGAGAATACCAAATACTGTTCAGTACTGTATACAGATATCAGACTTTAACTTTTTAATATATGTTGATTTTTTAATGCAAATTTTAAATTATTTAAAGATGGCAGGTGAACTTTTCCTTCAGATAATTTAGTCAAGTACTTTACACAAGTACAGGGTAGTTTACTTAATATCATACTATCAGGTTGTTATCTTGGCATGTAATTTTACTTTATCCTCTTCCCCACTTGTTGGCTCGTTAGCCACCTGGGCGATCTGTCAGGTCTGTTACACACTGTAACATTAACTTTAGTAACGTAACTCTGGACATTACCTTAAATAAAAACTTATGTTGTATGTTACGTGAGTGTAAATATAGTGGTCTATATAGTGTGTACCTTAAGAAGGCATCTGTCATAGATGTACTGTAGTAATTAATACTTTTATAAGATTTTTATTTTATTTCACTAAATTTTTTTCTTCAATATTGCTTAATTTAGTTAATTTTTATGATTGGTGGCCTGAGATTTGTTCGATCATGTGAACTTATCACACCCTGTCGGTTGTCATTAAGAAAGACATGCAGCTGTAAAATTTTCTTCAATGTGCCCGATGGCAGTCAGGTCAATAGAGCTGTGTTCCTGCCCTGATCTCTGCTGCATTTTCTAGGCTCGTACAGTACAGTACAGTACAGTACAGTACAGTACCTGGATTTGCAGCAGTGGATGGGGAGGGACATCCCAGTTTGGTTATACCCAAAATCTGCTGCTGTATCAGGTAATCACGTCTAAAAGTGTGGAAAATGCCCGTAAAATGTTGATAATGGAAGAGTCGGTTGTGATAAATTTACTGAAAAGAAGGAAAGGAATAGAGTTTGCTGCTTCAAATAGTTTTTCATTAGGTGAAGGATGCAGCAGCTGAGTAGATACATCCATCACTTACTTTGCTTATTTGCACCCAGAAGTATCCTCAGTTAACCCATTTGACCCATTTGTGAAAGGGTACTTTTCAATGTAGTACATAGTTGGGAGAAGTGAAGGCAGTTGAGGGCATTGCTAGCCACACTACTTCCATGTGTAATGGAAATTCAGTTCAGTATTCAGTGTGCTGTATCCACATGGTCCCTAATGGGCCATCAGGCATATGGAACCCATTTTCCCTTTACTTCAGATAATTTATATTTAGGACATTACAGTACAGTATTTGATATAATGTTACCCTTCATATGGAGTGTATCCTGTGAAAGAAAAACTTACTAACATTTTTTTATGACTAAGAGAATTTTAATCAGTAACTTTTATATATTCATCCATATCTTTAGTGAGACTAATTAAAAGCATATTAATTAATCAAGTAATGCATAGTAAATAAATACTGTAAGTAAATACTGTTAGTAGCACATACAAAAGATTTAAATGATCTTCAAAGACATTGTTAATGGTATGTGGATGTTAATGGAGCGCAAACATTACTTAAAGGTAGTGTCCGGTGCCCTACAGTGTTAATATGAATGAAAAGAGAGGCCTTTATGGTAAGTTATGCAAAAATAAACAAGGTAATGAATGAGAATCACACTGTAATGACCAAGAGAATGGGAGAGAGAGTAAGAGAAGTCAATACAGTAATGATTACGGTGAAAGAAAGTTACTGAAGACAGTGGACCGAGTAAAGTTAATATGACTGAAGAATTTAGGTGTCAGTTTTTTAATAAATTATTTCATATCACTGTTAAGATTAAAAATGACAGTTGTCTGATGACGCTTAAAGGATTTATGTATTTAGAAATAAATTATCAATAATAACTATAGTAATGGCAAAAGAAATTTCATATGACAGGAGACAGGAATCCCTGTCAACTTCATACTGTAGACGGGTTGAAGAATGGAAAATATTCATCTTTACAGTATTATTTTGTTACTGAACATCTTTTTAAACTTCCTTGATCAATTTTTGGCTGGGATGTAAGAAGATTTACTGTATATTTATATTTATTTCTTTTGTTTATGCATAAAAACATTTTTCTGCTGCTATAATATAGGGTAGCCAGATAGGTGCTAATTCCTAGGTTCTTAGCATTCAGTAGCCAGTGCATTACCCAACCCCTTTGGCATGATGCTAGTCTACAGTCATCAACACACACACACACACAGTCTGTTGCCGAGTAATGTATGCAGG